TAGGGCGGTGGTGGAATCTCTATCCTTAGAGGTTTTTAAGGCCCGGCTTGACAAAGCCCTGGCTTGGATGATTTAGTTGAGGTTGGTCCTGCGAGCAGGGAGTTGGACTAGATGACATCCTGAGGTCTCTTCCAACCCTAATCTTCTATGATTCTATGGTAAGAATGTTACACAGGAGCTGTGCTGCCATTGGCTCTCTAAGCCATGTTGCTAAGAGAAGGGTGACCCAGAAATAATATGGGGGTTAGGGGTCTGGCTCTCCATGCTGATACCCTGAGGTCTCTGGGATTTCCCTATAGATCTTGTGATATCTTCATGGTCAGAGGACAGAAACTCCCTTCCCCTTTCATAGACTTGCAAACTCCTTCACCTGAGAGGGTGATGTGCAGGAAACTCCTTGGAACGCCATACAATGAAATTTACAGATTTTTCCAGATCAGATTTTCCCTCCTACAGATTTCTCCATGGGAGAGAATGGTAATAACTTCCTCTGTTTAGCTGGGTCAGTATGAGTAGTGCCATGAGTTTAAAAACTGTTTTCTGAGCTCTGATTCTTTTAATAGCAAAGCTGCTAAATGATATGAAAGGAAGAAGAAATAAAGATGAAATACAGTGGGTATCAATTTTTTCAAAACTGTACAGTATTTTATCTTAAGCTTTTTCAAATGGCATTATCTCTTAACTGGGATAATGAATACTCCATAGGGATGTCTCAGTTATGACACTCTCTCGTATATGCTGTACATCTTAATTTCTGCAGATGGGAATCTTGACCAGGTAAATAGGTGGCCAGATACTCACAGCTAGTGCAAATCATAGTTGAGGATCTGATCTAAAAGCAGAATTTTCCAAATGCAGAAACTATTTAAATGATGGAATAAACTGCTGCCACATCTCGCAATTCTTTTCTTACCGATTTATATTAATGGATATTACAAACTATAAGTCTGTGCCATCAAAAGTTTTAACCAGATATATAGCCCAATATTCTCCACCTACCAAAATGTATTAATCTTTATGGTAACAGAACAAATGTAAATGAACCTGACTGACATTATAGGATGTAACATTAGAAGAGTGATATAAGCTTCTGGATTGCCATGAGAAGAGCTCCAATTCATTATATTTGTATTAGTTTCTTCCACAATTGTACTATAAAATAAGATGTGCCTTTAGATGGTACTAAGAATGGAGAAGGGGGAAAATAAAGCAAAAAAGATTTCTCCAATTTTATCTTTTAAAACCACAATCCTCAGCTGTAAATTCACTGATCTTCATGCCCTCATTCTCCACAGTTACTGAGGACACAATGTTTTATGAAAGCCTTCTTTCACTGATGTGTGCAATTATGTCTACACAAACAATCCTTTTCATAGCTGGCTTTCATTTAATAGAGGACACTGGTGACAGGGTAGTTTAATTGTAAATTGGGCTCTATCTATATTAGCGTCCAAAGAAATGTTAACCAGAACAGTGTTTAATCTTACTAGCAAAGTCCTAACACAGTTCCCTATGGGTATGTCTACACTACAGCTGAGATCCTCTCAGGGCTTGTCTATACTCAAAACGCTACAGCGGCACAGCTGCACCTATAGCGCTTCAGTGTAGACACTACCTATGCCGATGGGAGAACCATTCTCCTAAAGAGGTGGCAGCGAGGTCGACCGAAGAATTCTTCCATCAACCTAGTGCTGTTTACACCGGGGGTTCGGTTGTTATACTATGTCTCCCAGGGATGTAGATTTTTCACACCCCTGAGCAATGTAGTTATACCGATGTAAAACCCTGATATATACCAGGCCTCAGTCTAGCTAGACAGACAGCAGTATGGATGTTATGGCTCAGGCTGTCAAGCCCACCTGACCGCCTTGACTGCTACTTTTAGCTTACTAGCTGCTAGCCTGTCTACCTGGGCTGGGAGGCTCACTCTCAGCTGCGGTGTAGACATATCCTATGCTACTCCCCCTCCCCCTTCACAATGGGCCTGTTCAAAAGCTCATTTAAGTTATAAGAAAGACTCCTATTGAAGTTAGTGGGCTTTGGGTCAGGCTCTCTATATAGACTGGAGGGCAAAGCTGCAGGGAAAAGCACTGAAGTTTCATATGGCTGGAGGAAGCAGCGATGCAGGATTCTCCTTCCCCTTCTACATAGTGGTCAGTATTCTTTCCACAAAAAATGTACATGGCTGAAGCAGGAGTGGTGGGGATTGGGAGGAAAAGCTGGAGAATTACTGCAATAAAGCAAGATGTTTCCTTTTTTTCCTACTAGGATTAATGCCACATAAAAAAGAAAAATGTGGGAGGGGTGGGAGGAGATTCATTAATGCCGTTTAACTACCCCTCCATGATCTGACCGCATGGGTGGGAATTGACTTTGTTAGTTTTGCCTGGGAGAACCCATCTGAGTGCCTAACCAGGAAATCTCAAGATTGTGGCCAGAGTTGCTCATAGATCTGTAGCTTCCACTCCTTTTCCTGACCCTGGCCAATCCCTTCACATTCCTGAAAGTTCAGTAGGTTTCAAGGAGGGGAAGACTTGCTCAGCTGCAGCACTGCTAAAGTCATGGTCCTGGGACTTCTATTTTTTAAATTCTTCTTCTACTGTGCATGATTTAACACACATAGGGTACAATTCACCCCTGTGCAGATGGGCAGCACAAAACTTATGCACCACTGAGTCCCAGTCCAAACCTGAAAATAGGACTTCAGTGGTACATGGCCCTTTTGCTGGTTCTTGGCACTGGAGTGAATTTCACCCATAAGGAATATGGAAGTAACACGTTCCCAGGCAAAGCTGAATTATTTGTTAATTATTATTGTTAGATATATAAATAGTGGTGCTTATCAAAGGCTCTAGGCTTCTATAAGTAACAAAAACAAAATTAGATTGCCAACGGGGACCCCAAATTACCCTCTCTCCCATATGCTACCAATTTCTCTCTTTAGAGCACTGTTCATAAATAACAGGCTAAAGAACATTTCAGCTAAATTGCTAAATTGCCTAAGTAATTCAAAATAAACTAAACAAATTTGAAGTCGGCGACAAGAATAATTAACCCATGAATGAACCGCACACAATGCTTTGCAAGTTTTTCTCTAAAGGTGTAACAAACTTGGTGGTAGTGAACAGTTTTTGGTGTATTGCTTTTGTAAAAATATAAGGCTAGATTCTGTCATGCATCCAAGGCCTGGTCTATGGACAGTTTTTATACTGGTATAGTTGTTTTGGTTAGAGATGTGATTTTTTTTTTTAACTAAGGCTAGGTCTACACTACCCACCTGAATCGGCGGGTAGAAATCGACCTCTCGGGGATCGATTTATCGCGTTCCTTGGGGACGCGACAATCGATCCCCGAATCGGCGCTCTTACTCCACCAGCGGAGGTGGGAGTAAGCGCCGCCGACAGAAAGCCGCAGAAGTCGATTTTGCCGCCGTCCTCATAGCGGGGTAAGTCGGCTGCGATACGTCGAATTCAGCTACGCTATTCACGTAGCTGAATTTGCGTATCTTAAATCGACTCCCCCCTGTAGTGTAGATGTACCCTGACATCTAGCGTGGATGCTCTTATACCAGTATTAAGGTGCCTTATACTGGCATAGTTTATTCCTCTTCCCATTTGGGAATAAGCTATACTGAAGCTATGGCTACACTGGCGCTTTACACCCCGCTGAGTGCAGTAAGTTACGGCACTGTAAAGCGTCAGTGTAAACAGTGCCCCAGCGCTGGGAGCCGCGCGCTCAGCACTGTAAGCTAATCCCCTCGTGGAGGTGAAGGACCTGCAGCGCTGAGAGAGCTCTCTCCCAGCACTGGCGCGCCACCACACTCGCACTTCAAAGTGTTCCCGTGGCAGCGCTTTGGAGTTTCGAGTGTAGCCACGGCCTGAGATAAAGTACCTTAAATACTGATATAACTGAGACCACACTAGAGATATTGTACTGTTTTAATTATACAGACAAAGTCAGTGGTACAACTGTTGTATGTAGACAAGACCCTCTCAGTACAGTAGTGTGAGGGGGCTATTAAGGAGGCATAACTAGCTCTCTGATTCTGCTGGCCCGGGCACCACTGAGACTTAAAATAGCCTAATTTATGACAGGGGAATATAATCTCAAAGGGACCTACAGCACTGCCCCTGCTCCCATAGAAGTCAACGGCAAAACTCCCATTGACTTCAATGGTGCATGATCAAGACCTAAGAATCATACACTAGCTGAAAACTGGTGCAATGATGCTCCCTACCACTCCTTCTGAAACGGAAACCTTCCCTCCTCTGACATTGCCCCTAAACCAGGATGAGGGGGGCACTTGTCTCAGGAGCTGGCTCTGCTGGGTTTACCTCAGTTGAGAGCTCCACCCTCCATCAGGAGAATTCAATCATGGCGAGAATGCTTGAGTAGTGCAAAGGAGCCAGTCTGGACCTGAGAATCTTGCTCCCACTGCATAGGCAGTCCATAATTCAGGATCTACTTACTACCTTGTCAGTTTTTCTGCAAAAGTTCTTATATTCTATCTTTAACAATAGGCCACAGAGCTGCTTTTAAAAAGAGAATGTGAAAAAGGATCTCAAGCAGCAGACAAGGTGATTAAACAACCAAGTGCATTTTGCCGATCAAGCTCAGTGATTGCAAGTCATTAATATGCAAAACATGCACAAATTCAAAATAGCAATTATCCATGCAAAACATTTGGGATGATCTGAAAAATGTCAACTTGCCTTTCTCTTGCTATCACTTGTTGGGGTTTTCAGATACACATTTAAACACGGTTTTGTCCAATTTTGAGGGGAGAAACAGCCTATATGCTTATAAAATTTACATACATGCGCTTAGGAATTTATATAATGGGCATCGAAGCTATAGAAGCAAAGGTAAACATCCCCTTTATAGGAATGAAATGTGTATGTACAATTATTCTAATTGCTTCCATCATTAAATATATCTTACATTATGTGATTAGACTTGGAATAATTTGGTAAAGAGTACTTTATAACTCATTTACTTACTTATGCATATATCCATCTGCATTCCCCGTTAGGTTCATCTGCATAACAGTCTGAAATTCTGTCTCATTGCAGCAGTATTTAAATACTGTGTTGTTATGGTGACAGCAGAAGATGTAAGATTTATTGTCAGAAAGGCGTGGGCAGTGAAAACCAAAGTGGTAGCGGCCTTTGTAGTCTGTATATGGCTCACAGACACGAAAATGTGCAGACAATGCTGTAAAACAAAGATTGATATTGTATTTGTGAGTCATATGTGTTAGTTGCATGTCACATCCATTTTCATTTTTCTGTTAATCTTAAACAATATTTCTCCTGGCTTCTGAGAAACAGTAATCATGTATTTCAGGAGTTTCAACCTCATAATATTTGATATGACTACTGACAGCATGAAAAGCATTTTTGTGATATTTTCCATTTTGAGTTACTATGTTTCTGACTTTTTTAAATTTTAATTCATTTATGTTTTAAACAGAAGAGAAGAAATGCTGTCCAGAACTACCACAATCTTGGACAGCAGGGAACACTAAAATATTTAAGTACATATCTTCAACTATGAAGTTTTAAAACTATGGGATATCAGCAAAGATCTAGAAAAGCTAGTTTAAGATTTTTCTGGGATGATTTTATTATCCCAGAAAAACATACAGGCAAACTGAAATAAGCGTCCAAGGCACATGATTTACAGTGGCTGTTATTAATGTGTCAGAAACATCTGCTCTACTGTAAAGGTCATTATTTTGATAGGCATTGATCTGCCAAAAATAATAATTAAAAGATATTACCATGCTAACAGAGCTGAACAACTGTGAATATACAAATATCTAGAACAAGAGCAATGGAAACACAATTACTATTCAGATCTTAATTTTTTTTTAAATTAAATTCTCATGTAAAGCATGTACTATGTCTCTTAAACCATTTTCCAGGTTTTTGTTACACTGGTTTTGCTGGCCAATTCTCTTGAAAGAAAGAAATCATCTCTGTATATTTCCCCAGAATGTGGGCTCTAGGCTAATTGTTGTGTGGTGGTTAGTATGCCTTGTAGGAGTTTGAGGTCTGTAGCTAACCCCCAGCTCTCACACATTGGCACTACTTTAATTTATTTAGGGTTTATATTATGGTAGTGCCTTGAAGCCACATCTCAGATTACACACACAGTCTCTGCCCTTGAAGACCTTACAGTCTAAATATAGACCACAGACAAAATGTGGGAGAAATTATGTATTTTTATTCTGATTTTACAGAACTGAGACAGACACACTAGGGACTGCTGTACACACAAAGTTGCACCAATCAATTAAGGTGTTATTTTAAACTGATTGAGTTAACTGGTGCAACTTCGTGCATGGACACTCATATTTTTATATTTGTTTGAAAATTGGGATAACGATTCTGACCTTTTCTGTTAAATCGCTTTGAGATCTTCTGTTGAAAAGCTCTATATAAGAGGTAGGTGGTGGTCTCATCATTACTTATTATTATTGTGTCAGTTTACCAATATAGAGTGTACACACAAAAGTTTGCACCGGTTTAACTAAACTGGTGTATATTTGGCTGTAGACAATGCCTGAGTAAATTAGGTGCCAATAAAAATTTAAGAGAAATGAGTGCATTTCAATCCTGGCATTACTCCTTTGCTATGATCTACTGCGAGGAAGAATATGCCATTTTGGGATTAAGATCACAGCCGAGCCGTGGAACTCCGAGGTTCTGAGGAGAGCTGGTCGAAAACCAGAATTTCCATCCATTTTCTATCAAAATTCTGATATTTTGACATCTATTTTTATCCTGAATCAGGGTGAATATCTGAAATATCAAAACTTTTCATGGAATTAAAAGCTCAGGAAAATTTCACTACCATCCCTAACTTCATCAATGAGTTTCAACCCATTATTTTGTAACTAAAGCATCGGTCAGTTGAATTAAATCAAACTATATGCTTAGGAGTTAAAGCGGACAGGGGAGATATTCTTTGTAGCATGCATGCATGGCTCCCTTTATTGTGAGTTATTTGTACAGCCACCTCAAACTAGTGAATACCAATAAGTCCTAAATTTTGTATCTTCTTGCTCTCCATCACAGTCTTAGTAGTCCCAGTTCAATCATATTGGTCAAAGGGTTGCCACTAGGGCTGGCCGATACGAATTCCATTTTAGTGAAAAATGTCAAGGTTTCTAAATTTGTTTTCATTCTACATCAGAATGAAACCAAGATCTTTCAAAATTTTCATAAGAATAACATGAGAGTCCCTGTCCCCCCTCAGAAGAGCCACTAGCACAGGGCGTGAGTGTCAGAAACCAAGTTGGGGATGGTCAGGCCTAGTGGTCAGAGCTGTGGCAATTGGGATTAGTAGTTGGAGCCAGGGGGTCAGAGCTGGAATCAAGAATCAGAGCAGGAGTGAGGCTGGAGCAGGCTAAGGCTTGTGGAGTCTGTTAGCACTATCAGGTGGGGAAGAGTCCCTAGCCATGAAGTGATGTTGAGCAAACAGATCTGCTGTTTCCCCTTTGAGAGTTATATACCTGCCCTGAGAGTCACCTGACTGGCTCTGGGCTTGTGGACTGGCTGGAGCCTAACACAGGAATGATTCATCACCCTGTGTGGCTTAATCAGGCTCTAGTTTGGGGATGACTCATCACCTCCCATTAGGGCATTCATCTGGGATACGGGAAAACCAGGTTCAAGGCCCTGCTCTGCCCGGACTAACCACTAGGCCAAATCAGGCAGAGGAGAGCCTTCAACCTGGGCCGTAGGAGAGTGCTCTAAGCAGTGAGTTACTGGCTATTCTGTGGTGGGTCACTCTCTTCCATCCTGGAGCTGAGGAACCTTTTGTTTCAGCAAAAAAGTTTCAGTTTTGACGAACTGGCATTTTGTGACAAAAAAATGTTTGTTAAAAAATTCCTGACCAGCCCTAGTTGCAATGTTCCTACTCTGCTACCACCTTTTCTAGCAGAGCTCTAGCCTGCCTGTTCTTACCGTAGGCCCTCCTTTTCATTCTTATTTCCACCTATTCAGACACCTTTCTGCCTGCTGGCAGGGAGCTGCATCTCCTTTCCTAGGCCAGCCAACCCAGCTGAAGCTGCTCAGTCTAGGTCTGGTTCTTCTACCAACCCCATCATCTTGTTATCTGACCTATCCAGCTGTTTCTCTACCCCCCACTGTTGCTGCTTCCCTGTCTGCCTGGCTCTCCAAAACCATGTCCCCAGAACTGTGCACTGTACACTTGGGACTTGTCAGTTCATTGTCATCCCAGTCTTTGTTATCCGTGCCTTGTGGTTGTGATCAGAAACTATGCCCTTAATGATTATTAGATATGATCTTCAAATATCCTTGTTTGTCTATATTCTACTTTTTAATAGATCATGGTGCTTGAAATAAGGCACCATCTTACGTAGAAATCTTTCTATTAGGGCTCTTCAAGTATGAAATTAATATAATTGCAGTAAAAAGCAGCATCCTGTAGTTCTTTCATTCAAATTATGCAAAGCCAGTAGTCTCCCTTTACAGAATCTGGGGCATACAGGCCATACATTGTATATATATCTGAGTTGATTACATAGATAAACACAAGTTGCCCTGTAATTACTTTGGATATCAACAAAGTTACTATGGACCTTTGTTACTGTGATGCTGCTACAAAATTAACATGTCTCCATTGTTTTAGGCAACTTGCCTTTTATGTGAAAGGAGGCCAAGAAAACACTCTCAGTTGTGTTAATGCTTTGTAAAGGCTGGGGATAGAATTTTCAAAGGTACTTGGCACTGGTTAACACCATCCCCAATGGTTAAAACTCTCACTGACTTCAGTGTTTTTGATAATCCTACCTGGGGTACATAAATTAAAGCTGCCATTATCATTTTAAACACCCATCCTGCAGCATATCACCATGCCCTATGTGCTAATGAGAAATGTCAAAAAATAATAAAGGATCTATGACAGGATAAGGTACTCATGCATAAACAAATAAAATAAAATGCTAGAAAATGCCTGGTATTTATCAATGATTTATGTAATATGCAGAAATCCTATGTAAACAGGATAAAATCAAAGACTTATTTCTTTACAGACAGCATGTCCCCTCCCTCCAAAGAGACAGTATCAGGGCTGAAAAGGCTAAACATATTAAATTCAGACCTAACAGGTTTGTTTTGGTTTGAGGCTAGATGTTTGTGTGACATATAAAATCTATCCTCAAACCAAAACAAAGCTGAACCATTTTTATGAACAGTCAAGGTATAACATTAATATTGCAAAGTAAAATTCTCAAAAGCCAGTAAATATGAACATTATGGCGGAGGTACAAACTTAACTCTATCCCCTGTGCATATGCATATGAAATAGTCTTTATTAATATGACATGCTGTTTCTGAGATAGATGATAATATATTTTTTCCTACAATGTAGGTCGACACGTGTATTTGGGATAACTTATGATCATGTAATTAAAGGTTATCAGCATGCCTGAACAATGTGCAGAGTAAAGGTTCTAAATTCAACCCTATTTTGCCCACACTTCCTGCCTTTAGATTATTTATTTGACTCTGCCACTATCTGTGTAAACTTGAGTAAGTCACTCAACTTCTTTGTGCCTCAGTTTCTCCATCTCTAAAATAGGGATAATGCTCATCTAACTTCATAAAGCACATTAAGAAATATAAATGAAAATCATTATATAAGAGCTAGTTGTTATTATTCATCCTCAATCAATCCATTCCAAGTTTCAAATGTATTTGCTGTATTCCTCATGACAGAAGTGCAGTTAGAGTATTTTAAAATGGGATGGATGTCGTTTTACTCCGTTACAGAACTAGGAAAAAAATTGATGGGATTCTGCTTAAACTTCCCCAGAATCACCTTCAGACAAAATTACAAACATGAAAAATTTCAGAAAACTGGCGAGTTTCTGAAAGTTATGAGCCTGTGAAAAGTACTTCTTTTAATTGGAACTCCTTTGTAAACTTAACTATAGCAGCGGAAGAATATGAACAGGCAAAGTGTGAGGATAACATGATCCGTACACATAGACACACATCCTCTTTTGTCCAATGTGAAAATACATATGATACAACCTTACTTTCTAGGTCTGTAGTAGGTGGATCATTTGGCAGAATTGTTTGATTTATATGGTTTCAGAATTAAAATAGTAAAAAAAATGATTATTAAAGTTGAGTGTCAAATGTTGAATCTGTTTATCTTGTCTGTGTCCCATTAGTGTTACTTTCCTAAATGAAATAGTATTGCTCTTCTTGTTTTAGCTTCCTGTCACCAAATGCACAGCTAAGGGGGAGGGATAGTTCAGTCGTTTGAGCATTGGCCTACTAAACCCAGGATTGTGAGCTCAATCCTTGAGGGGGCCACTTAGGGATTGGTCCTGCTTTGAGCAGTGGGTTGGACTAGATGACCTCCTGGGGTCCCTTCCAACCCTGATATTCTATGATTCTATGTTTAAGTTGCACAGTGCTTTTGTTTCAACTCTTAGTGTTACTTATGGTACCGTTAGTTTTGTAGGCACTTGGGTTTGATGAAGTTTTAACCCATTCATCCCCTCGCCCAGCTCACATAAAAATAAATTTCTGGAAGAAACATTACCTGCTGACAAGAGCAATAAGAACACAACCATCAGCACATTCAAGGACTGTTGACCACAACTTGTCATCGTTTTGTTTTCATTGATCCATTAGAGAATTACCTGTTTAATAAGATGCAATATCATAGTTAGATGTCAATATCATCTCACCTTTATTTGCTTAAATCTGTACTTGCAACACGGCTTTGCAACAGAGAAAATGGTTTAGAGCAGTAGCTCCAACCTTTTTACGCCCAAGATCAATTTTTGAATCTAAGGGCAACCCAGGATCTACCCCGCCCCTTCCCTGAGGCCCCGCCCCTTCCCCAAAGCCCTGCCCCACTCACTCGATCCCCACTTCTCTCTGTCGCTTGCTCTCCCCCACCCTCATTCACTCTCACTTGGGCTGGGATAGGGGCTGGCGTTGGGGAGGGGATGCGGGCTCTGGGCTGGGACCGAGGGGTTTGCAGTGTGGGAAGGGGCTCTGGGCTGAGCCTGGGGCAGGGCGGGGCTCCGGGCTGGGTACAGGGGTGCTGGCTCTGGAAGGGGGATCAGGGCTTGGGGTGCAGGAGGGGGTTTGGGGTGCTGACTCAGGGAGGGGGCACAGGGTGGGCCTTGCGGTGTGGGAGGGGGTTCAGGGTGCAGGAGGAGGTACGGGGTGCTGGCTCCGTGATGGGGCTCAGGGATGGGGTGCGGCCTCGCGCTGAGCAGCACTTACCTCTGGCGGCTCCCAGTCGGCAGCAGGTGCAGCGAGGCTAAGGCAGGCTCCCTGCCTACCCCGGCACCACATTGCTCCCAAAAGGGGCCAACGCACCCCTGCGGCCCTGGAGGGAAGGAGGGGCAGAGGGCACGTGGCTCCATGCATTGTCCCTCTCTGCAAGCACCGCCCCACAGCTCTCCTGGCCAATGGGAGCTGCGGGGGCGGTGCTTGCAGGCAGGAGCAGCGCGCAGAGGGAGACCCCGGCTCCCCCGCCCCCGGGGCCACAGGGCTGCGCTAGCCACTTCCGGGAGTGGCATGGGGCCGGGGTAGGCAGGGAGTTTGCCTTAGTGGCAGCCACACTACACTGCTAGAGATCGCGATCGACTGGGAGATCCTCTAGAATCAACCAGTCGATCAGGATCGACCAGTTGGTGACCACTGGTTTAGAGTAATACAATGCGAAAACAAAACTGTCTTATTCCCACTACAACCATTGCATGGAAAAACACATTTCCCATAAGAAATTTTAAAATATGCTATCCTTTTATTTAGCTACATTAAACAGTGTGAGTTATGTATACCCTTTATATTCTACAGCACTAAGTAAAGGTGAGCAAAAGGGAGTGCTTGGTTGGCTATTCACACCAAACTTTGTAATATAAGAGACCATGCCTCAGGCAGTGGAATACTGTCAGCAAATTGGGCTGTTTTAGTATGTCTGGAAGAACTACGGGAGTTAAAATGAGTTAAAATAAATAGGGCTGTCAATTAGTCGCAGTTAACTCAAAAAATTAATCGTGATTAATCGCACTGTTAAACAATAGAATACAAATTGAAATTTATTAAATATTTTTGGATGTTTTTCTACACTTTCAAATATATTGATTTCTGTTACAACACAGAATACAAAGTGTACGGTGCTCACTTTATATTTTTTTTTATTACAAATATTTGCACTGTAAAAATGATAAAAGAAAAAGTATTTTTCAATTCACCTTATACAAGCACTTCAGTGCAATCTCTGTATTGTGAAAGTGTAACTTACAAATGTAGATTTTTTTTGTTACATAACTGCACTCAAAGACAAAACAATGTAAAACTTTAAAGCCTACAAGTCCACTCAGTCCTACTTCTTGTTCAGCTAATCACTAAGGCCTGGTCTACACTAGGCGTTTATGTCGAAGTTAGCGCCGTTAAATCGAATTAACCCTGCACCCGTCCACACTGCGATGCTATTTAGTTCGACATAGAGGTCTCTTTAATTCGACTTCTGTACAACCCCCTGTCCTTTTAAATTTAACATGCATTTTGCTCTCACTGTCCTGATAGCTTATGTCT